CAGAGCCCACGGGCCCTGAGCAGCAGTGCCTCTCCAAGCCCGGCCTCAGCTGCAGGCTGGCAGCTGCCACCCCAGCAAGCAGCCCACCTCAGGCCCTGGCACCGGACCCTGGTCAGTGCCAGTTCCCATGTTTTCACAAAGTTGGGGGGATACTCTCCTAGCACTGTGAGGGGCCCAGGCTCCGCGAGGGGAAGGAACTTGCCCCTGGACACAGCATAGGCGCATGAAGTGAGGTCAGCTCGGTGTTCTTTGACCTTCCTGAGCCTTCTTGGAAAAGGGAACCGCTCAGATGGTCTCAGGTGCCCCTTACATGCCCCTTATCTGCTCAGGGGAGTTTGCGTTATTGCTTCATCGAGAAGATCTTAGTACAGTGAATGAGTTAACATCGATCAGGCTGTTGGTGGGGTGGGCCAGGAAAAACTTGCTTTTTCTTGTCAAATAGGAGTCTTTTGGGTTCCCCCAATGATACTAAATGAATCCAGTGTGGAATGGCGGTCAGAACGTCCTCCTGGGTGCCGGTGTGGCTTACACGGCAGCAGCCTCGGGGAACACCCCCACTTAGACGCACACCGCGTGGGGCCACGTCTGGGCCCCTCAGTGTCCTTAGAGAAGCCGCCTCTGCCCTGCCTGCAAAGTGGGACCGATCTTAACCCCCAAACCCACCACCCACCTCCACGCAGGACTGCTGTGGGCTCAGGGAAAGAATGCATGTGAAGGGGTCTGCCGATCCCAGTGCTCTTAGGGGGTCAGTAGCCCCCCTTCACCCTCACCCCCTGTCCTGAGAGAGAGAGAGACCCGAGAAACTGGGCTGGATAAACGGCCCTTCGGAAGCCTGGGTCCCCGCCATGTTCCCATGTGGTGAGGAAGGAGAGGGTCAGAGGTGGAGGCCACACACACCGGCGCCACCAGGGACAAACTCAGGTCCACCCCACTCCCAGGCTGCACCCCTTGTGAGGACAGCATCTGAGCCATGGGGGCGGGGGCCGAGCCCCACAGTCTCCTTGGGTGTCCGTCTGGGCTGAGCCTCAGAGTCCTTGTGGCTGAAAAGGCCCGAAGAGCTCGGGTGGGCATCTCCAAACACTCCCTCACCCCTCCGGTTGCTGCGGGGCCAGCGGGCAGCGGCTTGAGAAGCACCCCGCGATCCTGCCCCCGCACCAGCCTGAGCCCCCCGCAGAGGGCATGTCTTGTGACCAAGGCCAGGAGAGGGCTGGAGGGTTCTGTGCCAGGAGGCTCTAGCAGGTGCCAGAGCAACCGGAACCCTATCTCGGAAACCGCGGAGAGCCAGCTGGGCAGGACGCCGTGGGCCTGGCCTGGTAAAAGGCCCGGCAGAGAGGCCTGCTCGCCACTGAGTCCCGGTGGCCTTGACCCGTCCCTTTCTCTGTGTGCCTCGGTCTCCCTCTCTGCTCCCACGAGGTGGCCTTCAGCTCTAGGAGTGCTCCCCACAGCTTTCACAGCGTTCTCTCCCAAGGCCACAGTGCACAAGAGACATGTTTCAACAAGTCAGACTCTGCATTGGGGCCAGAGGGAGGGCAGAGTCAGGGCCCAGCATCCAGAGGGCTCGGCCAGCTGGCCCCGAGGCCCTGAGAGTTAAGGCTCCAGCCACACCCACCTGGCAGGCCAGCAGGGGTGATGGTGAAACCTCTGAGGTTTGGTTAGGAAGTTCTCGAATTCAGCATTTCCTCCTGAGGTGCCCCCGCTTCTAGCAGCAGAGAATCACTCCCGGCCACTCCTGTCCTTGGTCCATAGGAGGGGGCTGATGAGCCATCTCCCATGTGCTCAGGGGTATAGGAGGAGGGGCTGGCTCCTGGCTCCGGGGTGGTGGGGGGGGGGGCAGGACGATGGGCATCCTGGTTTAGCACTGGGCTTGAAGCTGGCGGTGCAACTTCCAGTCCCAATTTAGTGTCCTGGTGTCTGTCCCCTCCCCTCTGAAATGGGGTAGTAAGCTTGTTGGGGGAGACAGAGGAGGTGTGAGGGCTTAGCAAGAAATGCAGCTGCCCTCACAGGTCAGCAGCCAGGGAGAGCCCGAGGAAGGACACTGGTAATGTCTGTAGGGGGCTCTGGGGAACTAGGGATCCCTGAGAAGCCCAAGCACAAAGCACAACACACTGTACTCGGAGCACGCTGCAGAGGGGACCCGGTATGCTGTGCAGAGTACAGAGATGCGTGTGCGGCTTCTGGACACTCCCCTCGCGCAGGAGGGCAGCTAGTGCCTGGCGTCGCTATGGGTATGTCACCAACCTGCTGATGCCACCCCGCACAGACGCCAGGACCCTCGGAACGTGTAGCCCCGGGTCTTAGGGCGTCCGAGGTGGAAAGGGATTTCCATTGGGTTCCAGCCCTCGGGTTACCCGTGGAAAGCCAAGGCCCAGCGGGAGGCAGGGCCCCCAGGGCCGACCTGAAGAGGTTCCCATCCTTCCCTGGACTCTGCTCCCCAGGAACAGCCACCCAGGGGCACCTACCGACGGCGTCCGGCTCGGGCTCGGTGCCCAGGTACCGCCCTCGGGGCCGCGAATCCACCAGCTGGGACCTCTTAGATTGGAGGTTCTCCAGCACCTGCTCGTAGGTGCTCAGCAGGGCGCGGTCCAGGGAGGCTTTGAAGACGGCGGGCTCCGGCCGCGCGGGCTCGGCGGTCACCGGGTGGCCCTCCTTCAGCCAGTTCCGGAAGCCGCCGTTGAGCACCGACACGGTGTGGTGGCCGAACACGCGGAACATCCACCAGACCCGCGGGGCGTAGAAGCTGCCCAGATGGTCCCCGTCGTACACCACCACGTGCGTGCTGTTGCTGATGCCCAGGCGGCCCACGTAGTCGGCAAAGCCAGCCTCGCTGGGCAGCATCATCTCGAAGCGGGACGCGTTGTCCCGGCACTCCTCTATATCGAAGAAGGAGGCGCCGGGCACGTGGCGCTCCAGGTACTCTTTGCGCGCGTCCCGGGTGCCGGGTGAGTACCAGGACGCGTCCAGCACCCGCAGGCTGGGCCCCACCTTGCCATTCCGAACCGACTCCGCCAGCCACTTGGTGGACACCAGCGCCCGGAAGAGCGCCTGCTGAACCATGGCTGCAGCCCTGCGAGTCACCTGGCGCAGGTGGGAAGCGGGAGAGAAGGGCCTGAGGGCTGTGTGCAGCGGGTGGAGACCGGCGAGGAGCGGCGCGGCCAAGCACGCCCCCAGGGGCTCGTGTTTACAGCAACCCTGAGGGGCGGGCGGAGGGCGGAGTGGGGCGCAGCCTCCCAATGGAAAGCCTGCTCCGCCCCTCCCGGGGTCCCCAGCGGGAGTGGGCGGGGCCAGGGGCTCCGGGCTGGCGCGGAGGGTGTCAGCCCGCCGGCTTCAACGCGCGCGCCGGCATCCGGCCAGAATGGGCAGCAAATTCGCCCAGCGTTGGGGCGTCCAGGGAGCGGGAGCGAAGCATCCTGGGCTTAGCGTCGTCCTTTTTTAGGGAGCGTGGGGGCGTGGGAACAGGGTTCGCCTTCCCCGACACCCCTCGGAGACCCTCCTGCCCGCGCGCTGCCGCTCTCTGCAGCCGGCTCGCTCGCCTCGGGAGCCCCAAGTCCGGCCCCGGTTCGGCACCCACTGTCCGGCTGAGTCTGTGGTTCCGAGAATCCCGCTCCGCTCTCGGCACAGGCGCCCTCCCTGGGCCACAGGTAGCCGGATCGGATCGGAGGCCCAGTCCGGAGCAGCCGCGCCGCCACCTCCTCCTCTCCCCCCTCCTCCCGCTCCAACGCACTCGCTCGCCCCGGCCGCCGCCCAGGCGCTCGCCCTGCCCCCTGGAGAACTTGGCGGGGTTCAAACCCCGAGCCTGCAACGCCCCGGCCGGCCGACACCATCGTGCAGTCGCCGGAGGGGGGACCGCGCACCGCCCGCCGCGCTTCGCCGCCGCCCACCGCCCCGCCGCGTCCGCCCTGGCCGCACCTTGGTGCCGACAGCCCCTCAGACCCCCGGGCACCCGCCTGGGTGTGCCGGCGGGCGCGGGGTCTGGGGGCACGTGGCGCCGCGGCGTGGACGCACCCCCCCGTGCCCGGCCAGTGGAAGGCGCTGGCAGCCGCTACTCGGAGTGGCCCAGGCGGTGGGCCGTGCCGGACGGAGTCTCCTCCTGTCGCAGGCCGCAGGTTGGTGGCGGGAGGTGGGGACGGCTCCGGGTGCTGGCAGGGGGCGCCCAGTCGCGCGGGTATGGCCGAGCTAGGAAGCCGGAGCCCGAGATTAGGGTAATTGCTGCGAGTCGCGCTTGGCTTTAGCGGGAGGTGATCGTTGGGGTGCTCGCTGCACAGCTCCCCTCGGGCCTTAGCTAAGAGGGGGGCCTCTCTCTTTAGGCCCTGGGGTCCCCCTAAACATGGCTTTCCGCAGCAGCTTAGGGCAGCCCACAGTGCGGGATCTAAGTGAGTGGCCAGTGAGGAGCCAGGGCAGGGGGTCTCCTGGTGCCGCCAGAGAGGGCAGGGGGGGAAGAGGACCAATATGGCCCCACAAAGAGGCCAGGGCCAGAGACCACTGGGCCAGAGGCTCCAGGCCGGGGGCAGCAGGCAGAGCAGTTGCTGAAGGGAAACACAACTAACACTTGCCAAGGCCTCGCGGGGAGCGCCCTCAGTCTGGAGGGGCAGACCAGCAACAGGGCGCCGGGAGGGAGGCCCAGCCAGCGGCCGGCCAGGGCAGCAGAGGCCAGGCTGCGGCCAGTCCCCGGGGCAGAAGCCCCCAGTTTACCCTGTTCATCCCGAGGCCTCAAATTTTTTAAAAACTGGCTTTTGTTTGGAATTTATGAACTGTGAACAGTGGCCATTTTAACAACCACTTGGTGCCATTCTTGGAAATGTGACTGGACTTGCAAGGTGGCCGGACACCGTTGCCCCAGCCCAGCACCTGCCTTTGCTCTGACGAGTGTCTGGGCTGCTTTCCTCATTCTGCTTTTAAAAGTTCTTTCCATTCTGAAAGAATGCATATCTCACAGGAAGTTGCAAAGGTTTCCCTGATGACACCGCCGCTGAGCTTTGAGCTTTGTGCTTTGCCCAGCAGGCTGGGGGATGTCCTTGGAAGGCCCCCTCCGGCTGGCACCCTGCTCTGGGGCCCACCCGAGGTGGCAGGCTGGGGCTCACACCCCCCTCCTGAGGCGGTCTGGGGTTGTCTGCCCGGTCTGGGGTTGTCTGCCCGGCCTGGGGGCCTCCACAGCTTGGGTACCCTAAGCACACTGGGGTCTGGCTCCCACTCTTCAGAGACACTGACACCCCTACTCTCCAGACCCTCCCCTCCCGCTGTCCTTTGTGAGAAACACCATCAGCAGAGGTGGACAAGATGACCTCAGAAGTCCCAAATCCTGAAATGTTAGGACTCGAAAGTTGCTGTGAGGGTTCAAAGCACCTGTGAGAGTAGCGTGGAAGAAAGGATGGGATTTTTACCAAGCCATTTACACCGGTTGCCACAACTAGCGTGTTGTACATTTGGGTATTTAATCCCCAAGCACTGAGGGTCGGAAACCCCATTGTAAGAACCGGAGACAGCAGAGAGCCTAACGTGTGCCCCTCCTACAGTTGGCTAAACAGCAGACTGGGGTGTGGGGTGGCTCTACTCCCAAACCAGGGTTCTGTCCAGTCTGTACGGACCCTGGGGAAACTCAAGGAGCCCCAATAACAGAGAAGCAAGAGCAGCTGTGGTTCACAGAAGGTTCTTCAAGCAGGAGCCAGAAACATCCCCAACAGTATCTAGCTGTGGTGTAACCCACAGATTCTGGGTCACCCCATTGCCAACTCCCCCCCGGCAGCCTCCTTCTCGTGAAGGTCAAGCTGTGGTTTCCGGGGCTCCTGAAACGTTCAGGTCGATTTGAACTTCCCCCTTCCCGGGAAGCCTTCCCGCCTCCTGCTCCCAGCCGGCCGGGGCTGAGCGAGGCTCACTTGGCCTCCCTGAGCAGACTCGCCTCAGCGCTGCTGCCTCCGAGCAGGCACTTTGCCCTCAGGGCCTGGCAAAGTCAGCTTTCTCTGTCCAGCACAAAGTGGGTTTCTAAAAGCTAGCCTGAAAGGAGACTGGGAGGAGCTGGGCACGAGGTGTCACACTGTGACCCTATTAAGCCCTGGCCAACGTTGACCTGAGGCTGGAGAGTGGACGTGGCTGGAGAGCGTGGCCTTCGGACCTGAATTCTGCCTCACGTCCCGAGGCGCCCTGACCAGCTCCATGTCCTGCTCCGTGATCGAGGGCAAGGTGCTTGGTCTCTGCCAGTTGCCTCACTCAGAAAGCAGGGATCCTAATAGGCCTGCAAACTGAAGCTGGGGGCCTAGCTCCTGGCCCCCCACCAGGGCCCTCCTGAAAGCTTGTGCTCTCTGTCCACCCCTTCCCCGGGGTGGCACGAGGGCTCTGAGGGGAGGGAGAGGCTGTGCTTGCACACCGCCTGCTGAGCCAGTACACTCTCCGCTGCTGGCCTGCGGGGGAGCGGAGGGGAGCTAAGCCCCTCACCGAGAATGGGCCCGAGAGAAAACTCGGGCTCGAGGGGCAAGATCTGGGCCTGCTGGCCTCAGCGCCTGCAGAGGGCACGTCAGGGAGACGTCGGGAAGCTTGGGGCTACCACTTCTTAGCTGTTGGCCAGAGTCCAGTTCTAGTTGGTGCCCTTCTGTGTGCCACAGTGCCCCTCCACGACGCAGAGAGAATGCCAAAGCGCGTGGGGCTGTTCTCGCCGCCACCCTGCGCCCCCTCCCCACGCCCTGTGCTCTGAGATACTGTGGGCGTGAGATGGGACACAGCAGGGACCGGTCTCGCCCACTGCCCCTGTTAGGACACGCTCACTGTTGGGCGGATGGGTGTGTGGATCCACCGGGGATCTTGGTAGGTTGCAAAGGAAGCCAAGATGCCCCTTCCTGCCAGCAGGGCCCACGGGCCCTCTCCGGAGGTGACCTGGGACCTGCCTCCCAGGGAGCGGCTGGGGGAGGGGCGGCAGGCCCTGGCAGAGGTGATGAAATCTGCTCGGTTTTGGATTTCTGCACCCGTGGCCCTGGACTCTGCCCTTTCCGGGCCTAGCCACCCGGCCAGCGGCCTGCCACAGTCCAGGCCCAGCCTCGCTGTGCTTCCTGCCCGGGGAACTCTTCCTAGATGCAGATTCCCAACTGACAGTCTCCCTGCCCCCAGGCCCGCAGCCTCGGAAGCCATGGCCCGACGGCAGCTCTTCCGCGCGCTCGTGTCCGCACAGTGGGTGGCGGAGGCGCTGCAGGCCCCCGGTGCCAATGCCAAGCAGCCGCTGCGGCTGCTCGACGCCTCCTGGTACCTGCCGGCGCTGGGGCGCAGCGCGCGCCGCGAGTTCGAGGAGCGCCACATCCCGGGCGCCGCCTTCTTCGACATCGACCAGTGCAGCGACCTCACGTCGCCCTATGACCACATGATGCCGCCCGCCAAGCACTTCGCCGACTACGTGGGCAGCCTGGGCGTGGGCCCCGCCACGCACGTGGTGGTCTACGACGCCAGCGACCAGGGCCTGTACTCCGCGCCGCGCGTCTGGTGGATGTTCCGCGTGTTCGGCCATCGCGAGGTGTCGCTGCTCAACGGCGGCCTCCGCAACTGGCTGCGCCTGGGCCTCCCGCTGAGCGCCGGCAAGAGCTGCCCGGCGCCCGCCGAGTTCCACGCCAAGCCGGACCCCGCCTTTATCAAGACGTTCCAGGACGTCCAGGAGAACCTGCAGTCCAAGCACTTCCAGGTGGTGGATGCCCGCCCCCGCGGCCGTTTCCGGGGCGTGGACCCCGAGCCCAGAGAGGGTAACCGATGGGGGCGAAGGGGCTGGGAGGTTGCACGGCCCACGGTGGGCGCCCTGGATTCTGCCCCCCGCAGAGGGTGGGGGCTGCATTTGGCCTCTCAGCGCCTCTTCGCCCAGCCTGCTGTCTATTCCTAGAGAGGGCTGCCGACATTGCCCCGCCCGTGTTTGGGGGGCCGGGACCACCTCAAGCTCATGGGAACCCAGGGGCATGGTGGAAGTGGGAGGACCAAAGAGCCCTGCCCCACGGTGGGTGGTGGGTGGTGGAGGGGTCGCTGTGGGTGAAGGAAGGTGGGCAGGCGCAGTGTGGGGAGAAGCCCAACCGGCCTCATCGGTTGCCGGCTTCTGGCTGCTGAGTGAAGGGGGTTTTGCAGAGGATGGGTAGGGAGGGGACCCGAAGAAGAATGCTACACAGCCCCACCCCACAGCTAAGCAGAAAGAGAATAGAGGGTTGCTGGCCCCGGGGAGCCCAGAGTCCTGTGTGTGGAGGAGAGCGACCCCCCTGGAAAGGAACCCAGTGCGCTCCAAGTGTTGTACTGAGCCGCTCTCTTCCAGCAAGTCGCCAGAGCGGCAAGGACTGGCTCCGAGGGGGGGTTTGTACAGTCAGAAAGGGGATGGACAGGGTTCTCTGCAAAAGAAAGTTGAGTTTGATCAGCTTAGAATTCTACTTTGGGGAGAGGCAGTTGGGTTAGCTGCTAAGTCTTGGAGGAGCTCGGCGCGAGCGACTGTTTGGGGCCTGTTCAACGCTGTTTTCCAAACACCTGCCACGCGGGCGCATCCGTGGCCGTGTGGGTGTGAGCCTGTGGGTGCTGTCTTTGTACGAAGGAAGGAGTGGCCGTAGCGGGCTTCCGAGCAGCCCCACCAGAAGTGAACTCCAGAGCAGGTACATTAATCACAGCGAGCAACCCGCCATTTCTCTCGCTTACTTCGGAGAGGGTGCCAGGAACTTGCCACTTTCTCCAGGAAGTCCTCCCTGAATGGCATCCCCCTTGACCTGAACCCTGCTCTGTGCTTCCAGAGCAGCTTGGGTTCCTCCTGTCCCAGCACTGTTCGGGGGGACCTACGGGCAAGGTGCATTCTTGCCCCGGTGCATTCCAAAGATGAACCCAGCAGCTGGCAAGGACTTGATGTCCCAGAGAGGGCTGGACCCTGCCCATGGGAGATGCAGGCGAAGCGGTGCGGACATTAGCACGAGCCCCGGGAAGCCGCTGATTGCCGGCCAGTTTTGAACCCGCAAAAGTGAAGGTTCTTAGGGTTCATCTTAATAAGGACACCCCTTTGAACCTGCTGGGCTCTTCGGGATACAGAGCCGCACAGGGCAGCGAGTGGGCGGGCGCCAGACCTGGCCTCAGAGCCCTGCCTCAGGTTGCAGCCGCCGACACGGGCCGCCCAACCCCTGAACCGCACCGCGGCGTCCGGTGTGGAGGGGAGCAGAGTCGCGGGGCGTCACGGGCGGAGTGAGGCCCAGTGTCACCTGCAAACAAGCGTGTTAAGCACTCAGCCCTGTGTTTGCAACGCGGGATGCGCTCGAGCGGCGGCGTGGGGCGCGGTCAGTCACGCTCCTCTGGAGGTGGCCTTTTGCTTGGCGCTCGGTCATGCTCACTCATCCCCGACACGGGAGGTCTGACACCGGCCTGGCGGACTGGCTGCCCGGGGCGTTGGGTTGTTGGGCCGGGGTGGGGGGCGGGCCAGTTCGGGGGGGCGGTTCCCGTTCCGTTGGTTGCCCCCCCGGCCGTTGCCTTGGGTTGGCCTTGGTGTGCGGCCCAGGAGAAGGGCATACGCTGCTCTGTGGCGCCCCGGCCTGGGAGCTGGCTCTTCCTGCCCTGGTCTCCGAGGGAGTCCACTTTCTGCGTCTGCACGGGTCGGAGGAGAGGTCTTGGCATGGGTCAGCAGCTCCCTGGAGGAGGGGAAGCTGAGGCAGGAGTCCCCCTAGAGCCCAGCTCTGGCGTCTGCACGGCCAGGATTTGCATCATTGACTGTGGGTGTTCATCTTGTTGTAAATCTGTTGGCAGCATGCAAATGGGAATATTAGTAAGGTTGGGGAGCCCTGACACTTGGGGCGGTGGGGTGAGGGGCCGGTGTCCTCGCTGCAGAACTGCCTGGCCTGGCCCGCATTCTTCCTACAGCCATCCAGATAGCTCGGGAAAACCAGTCTGCTTTCAACCCTCGGCGTCCTGAAAATCTTAATCCAGACAGGCTGGGGCGCACCCTCCGTTTTCCCGTAGGCCTTACACTCCCCCCCTCTGGCCTTTTGCCATCGTGACCACTAAGCCCTCTGGACGCCATGTGACCCCCTGTTCCCTCCACTCCCCCTGCCTACGACGCGCTCAGACCCAGAGGCCCTCAGTTGGCTACCAGGGGCCTGGCGGAGTGGGACTCCCATGGGGCCTGAGCCTTGAGTCCAGATTCCAGCCAGCACGACTCTGGCCTCCCTGTCTGTGCCGTGGAAGTGGGGCCCAGGCCAGTGTGAGGATGCCAGGCGGTGATGCCCAGAGCGGGCCAGGCACCCCGGTCGCAGGGGAGGCAGGCCCTTCCTGCGGCCCTTGTATCCATCCGTTCCTTCATCGGTTCTTTCCACAGGCATCGAGCCAGGTCACATGCCCGGCGCCATCAACATCCCCTTCACGGACTTCATGACCCAGGAGGGCCTGGAGAAGACCCCCGAGGAGCTCCACCGTCTGTTCCAGGACAAGAAGGTGGACCTGACACGGCCCCTGGTGGCTACGTGCGGCTCCGGGGTCACCGCCTGCCACGTGGCTCTGGGGGCCTACCTCTGCGGCAAGCCGGACGTGGCCATCTACGACGGCTCCTGGGCAGAGTGGTTCATGCGGGCGAGTCCGGAGAACGTCATCTCAGAGGGCCGCGGCAAGACCGAGTGAGGCAGCAGGACATGCCCCTACGAGCCGGGCCCGCCCGGGTGCTGACTTGCCTCGCGACGCAGCTGGGGTATGAGGTGACTTCCCAGAGGCCGGGAGTTTTGTGGACGCGTAGGCTCCAGGGAGGCTGTGCAGATGGCCGGCCGGGAGCCGGGGAGCTGCCCACGTGGTGCTGAGTTAGGGCCTTCCCTCCCGCCTGCTTTGGTGTTGAGGAAATAAACAGCCAAGTGCTAAATCCTTCTAAGCACGGAGCTGCCTCCATTTCTCCGGTGGTGCCAGGATGCCCGGCCAAGGGGGCTTCTAGAGCCTGAGGGGAGAGTGAGGGAGTAGGGACACGGGGCCGGTGGGGGGGGGGGTGCTTCTTACCCCTGCCCTCTGAGCAGTGCAGGGCCAGAGTCCTTCCAGTCCTATGACACCCCCCCCCCAACAAATCCATCCTCTACCCCGTGGTTCTGGGGTCTCCTGGCTCCCTGGAGCCCCGCACAGAGCCCCCACATAAGCGGTCCATTTCATTCCACGTGACAGATGGGCCCACAGCTTAATAAAAGGCTGAACTGTGCTGAGGAGAGTGCCCCGCCCTGCCAGAATATTCTAGAGGAGGGTCGAACTTAGTTTTGACTGCGGAATCTTCCCTTGGACCTGACCCTCCCTCACCAGGACCTCCTGCCCACGACTGCCCAAGGAGGAGCTCCACTCTCCTCCCTCTGCGTGGGTCCTGTGTGAGGAGGGGGACACAGGTGTCTCGAAGGCCCCAAGTCCACAGGGATGGGGTACCCACAGGATGGAATCCTGGTTTATCCAACTAAGAGCGCCAAAGCCCCAGCCTCTTCAAGTCTCCTTTGTTCACCAATAAAATAGGGGTCTTATGCCCTTGAGAAGCGGGATTCAGGTGAGGAGCTAGCTAAAAGCCCATCGCACAGTTCCGTCTTCTAGATCAGCGTCTCTCAACTTGTCCTGGGTTGTCCAGGTCCTGGCCAGGGTCTCCAAGCACATTGTGGGGATGTAGCTGCATTTCTGGGCACCCACCACTAGGTGTCAGCAGCACCCCCAGTTAGGACAAGCAAAACAAAGCCACCTTCAGACTGGCCCCAGGTCAGCCCCACTTGAGAACGGGGCTGAGGAGGGACGCAGAGCTGTGTGGGACACCGTCCAGGGGCAGTGGGCACCAGTGGGAACACAGTAGCGAGGGGTCCCAATGTGGAGGGGGCCCCTGGCTCCCCACCAGGAGCCCTTTCCCCAGCCTGAATTTAGCTGTTTGAGGGTTTCCTTTCCAGCTGCTCTCAGACTGTCTCATCTTCTCTTTGTGGTCGTTCCTGGCTCCCTGCAGCAAAGGGCTTGTCAGCGGATGAGACATTCGACCCCACACCAGGCTGCCTGACCTCAGATGCCCAGGCTCTGTCTTCATCTTTAAATTGAGAGCAGTAGCACCTTCCTTGAGCACTTTGGGGTTAAGGAAGGCAGGAGTTGGTGTCAAGTATTAATGTTCTTTTAAGTGTTATTATCACTTAATCGGTGTGTTGGGTGCCTCCCATGTTTCCGCCATAGGAGAGAGAAAACAACCCATAAGAGATGTGTGCTGTGTGTCCACCCTGGAAAAGCTTCCCAGCTGAGAAGGAAAGCCAGCCCTGCATCTCACTTCCAGGAGAGAGCCCTGTGAAGCGACCTGTCATACAGCTGGCTCGTTTATTTCTCCAGTGGGAAAACAGGCCCAGAGAGGTTGAGTGATGTGTCCGAGGGCACACAGCTAGCTGAGAGGAGCCTAAAGGAGCTGGCGTTCTCCAGGGTATCTGCAGTGTTTTCCAGATTTCAGAATCAAGGGGGGATGGGGCGGCGGGGGGTGGGGGGGGTTGGAGTCTCATGTGACAAGCCCTTGGGCCGTGACCCAAGTGTCTCCATAAGGAGACCCCTTGGTTGTGAGATGTAAGCACCCCCACTGCACTCCACCCCAGGGTGACCTGAACTGGGTCTCTTTCCTCCTGGGAAATGCCCCTGAGGCTGACCGCAAGAGGGACCTGCCCACGGGGAACAAAGGCGATGGAGCTGTGCCTTCTGGGCGTCTTGGAGCTGGGGGTTCACTTCCCGGGAGTTGGCTGGGGATCACCCAGGCACCCCGGCCCCTCCCTCCCTCCCTGGGAACAGGAACTCCCAGAATAATTAACCACTCACTGCAGGGTCCCCACCTCTGCCAGCCCTGAGCTGCTGCCCCACCGCCCTCCCGTCCCTCCCACCCCAGGGGATCCAGGCAGGAAATGGCAACCATGGCAAAAAATGATGAAATTTTCTTCCCCTCAGCAAAGACTTGCTGTGCAGCCCCTGTGTCAGGGACAGCTGAATGTTCCCGGCCTCACGTCACCAGCTGCCCTGGAATGTGTCTGCTCCCTGGATCGCTGCCTCGAGGGCCAGGTCCGAAGCCCTCACCCCACACAGAGGACTGAGTCACCAGTCCCTGTGCTGATCCAGCCCTGGCGCAGTGGAATCCACTGGGCACGGAGGCCCCGGAAGTTCTGTCTTCAGACTCTTCTGGGTGGGGGCCTCAGTCTTCTCGTCTGAAAAACAGGAGCAAACTGCCCCGTAGCTGCACGGGGACGTGAGGGCAAACGAGGTGAAGCTCAGGTGTCACGCCTCCCGGAATGAGCCGGCGGCGCAGGCAGATGCGGTTTACTGTCCTCCACAGTCATTGGGAGAGAGGAAATTTTCAGGTTGGCTGGAGCTTTGCAATTTTAAGCGCCCACACTTTTAGCACATTAATAAATACCACAGACAGAAGTTCTCCAAAGTGGAGGTAGTTAAAGACAAAAACCTAATAATTTGTACAAGAATTGAGCAAGCAGTACACACACACACGGTTTTTTAAATGGCCTTCAGGCATGGGGGAAGATGTTCGGCGTCACAGTCAGGGAAGAGGAGATTCAAACTTCCGTGAGAAGAGCCAGTAAGTAAAATCAGAAAAGATCTAGCAATTCTGACGACGGACTCTGCTTAGGAGAGAGAGAGGAACACACATGGGAAGGGAGATGGTTAAAGGCAATCTGTGGGGTTGGGTTATGATGGGAGATTGTCACATGAACTCGGGGTTCCTAAGAGGGACTGTGAGAGAGAGAGAGAGCCGCACGCCCATGCTCCGGCCCTGTTCTTCGGAAAGGCCTGGAAGCAAAGAGCCTCCTCGTGCTGCCATCTTGGCTCTGAGCACCAGTGTCCATCAGGGGAACTGGCCGCCGGGGCAGAGCAAGTGGCAAGGGAGCCCCGGCCATCTGCTGAGCCCGAAAGTGCCGCGCCCACTCCGGAGAAGGGCAGACATGGCAGAAAGCCGGAGGGAGGGTGTTTTTAATGGAGACAGGCTGCAGTTTTCCCAGTGAAAGAGCTGGGACTGGCAGGCCGCTGACCACACACCGACAGCCGGTTACGGCGGGGGAAGGAGGAGGCTTCTCCGAACCTCTGAGAGCCGCCGTGTGGGGCCTGCCGCTGAAACGGATTTAATGCACACATTGGCCAGAAAAAGAGGACTCAACCGCGTATGTGCCGGCACATGGGATTCACAGAGACGGTGTCAGGGAACCCAGGGTTTCTACCCAGGTAACGGAGAAAGGAGAGCAAAGGGCACTTCGAGAAATACAAATGATTTCTTAATTAGGGGAAGGAGGGCGAGGGCACTTGTAGGAAAACCAGTTACTTTTAGGAAAAATAAATGGAACTTTAGGAGCATAGATGGGAGACGGGAGAGTGAGATTAATTGATTCGGCCATCTCGCCAGCGATGAAAGCCAGTCTTCTAGTCTCCATGCTGAGAGTAGTTCTTCCCCGATTGCTCCTGACCTGGGCACTGATGGCAGTTATGCTCTTCTGAGTTTCTCTGGAGACTCTGCTTTCTGGCTGATAAGGGGCTTCCCGAACAAACAAAGCCTTTTCCCAGATGTCTTCAGAGCAAAACAGTTTGTTTTGCCACAGTGGTGTATCCTGGCCCACATCAATGGTAGAGGTGTATTTTCCCACAATTAAAAGAATAACTTTTATTAATAACCCGTTTTTAAAAAGAATACAGGCGCCAGTGTGGAGGGGTTCCCATAAATCCAACCTTTAGACAATACGAGCATCAAATTCCATAATAGTAAACACATTAGAACCTACTGAATAAAATAAACCAACATTTCACTCTGATATGAATGAGTGAGAAGGAAAATAGCTCCCTGAAAATAGAAAGCCACCTAATAAATCCAGAAGTTATGATGGAATTGTAAAAAGCACAGTCTGGCTATCATTGCAATTATTATTTTTAGCAAAACTCATTAGTGAATATTAAAAATGGATGATGAGATAAGTTTGTGAGAAGGAAAACAGGATATTAACATGGCTTCAGTGTCTCCCACAAGATGCTGGTTAATTCAAAGAAGGGAAAGGTCAGCAGCTGGCAGACTCTGCCTTCCCGGGGAGGGCCCAGGTAACCACAGCAGTAACGGGGCATGGGGACAGGGCACCCTGAAAATGCACTTTAAGTGTCGCATCACTTTTCAGTACTTAGTTGTGGGATGGGTCACACAGGCAACCCCCAGATGTCCAGAGCTGCCTTTTGCCAATAGGGACTGAGGGACTGAGGTCCCTCACGCCCTGCGGGCCTGGGGAGAAGGGGCTCCTGCTACCTAAAGAACACGGGTTAGACTCAACCTCCAGAAAGAGCCCTTTTGTAGGAGAACCCTCTCAAGGCGGGACAGGTACCTGGAGGCAAGGTTCTGTCTGAAGAGGTGGTCTCCTCCCCCAGACCCCTTCTCTCCCCTTGACACCTGGGTCCCTATCCCATTCCTTAGGGGGATATTACCACCCAGCCCCTTTGGCTCACTTACTTTAGAATTGACAGCCATGTAAATTCTCCACATGGAAGTCATTGCCTTGGGTCTTTTTCCTCCTACTAATCTGTTTGATGTTGATTTGCTCAGACATGTCCAAAAAGAACCCAGAGGGCTGGGGTGAATGTTTCCCTGCACCCAACAAATTCCTGATAAAAATGCAAAAACAGTGAAGCGGATCCTGGGGATCCGCCCACCCCTACCCCATCCCCACGCAGGCCTGGAGTTGGAGCCAGAGTGGGAGAAACTTGGAGGGCACGCGATTCCTCTGAAAATGGGGGTTACAGTCGCATCGCCCCACTGGGTTAGGATTCCCAGGGGAGCTGAGCTTCTGGAAAGAGCCAAACTGACCGCGCAGGGCGCGGGCTGGGGCCGGGGTGCTGCGCCTGAGGCTCCCCCAGGCTCGGCCAAGACTGACGTGCCCCCCAATGGTGAGATTGTCGGGCCACCCTGCGTGGGGGCGGGGAGTGGGGTGAGGATCTGAGGGGCCGCGCGCCCCACAGGGCTGTTGAAGAGAGCAGTGCCCGGCCGGCAGGCGGAGGCAGTCCCGCAGGCGCGCCGGCAGGGAAGCGGCTCCAGAACCGCAGCTGCCCTTTAGCGCAAAGTAGAGAAAGACGCCTCCTCGCGCAGACACTTGGCTGCCCAGTCACGACGCGAACACGCCCCTAGAGCTGCAGGGAGGAGGGACCTTCCCGGAGCTCCTCGCGGAGGGGTCCAGCCCCAGGCACTTCCGCGAGGTGGAGGTGTGTTGACAGTTGGAGGAAGATTCGGCCAAAGCATCCTGGCTTACCTGTTGTAAATATTCAGCTCTGTGCTCCAGCACGCGGCCGACGTAAGGAGCAGGCGTCACATTGTGACTTGGTGTGGGGGGCTGAAGAGCTTAGCCTCGATAGCCGCGGGTCTCGGGGCCCTGCTCGGCGCCTCTGGGCGCCTCTGCGGCTGTTTCTGGATGGTCAGGGCACGCTGCCTGGGTGCGCCTGTTTCTCTCCTCAGGTGACCTGGAACGGTGCAGCAAAGAGCCCGCGAGGTCGAAGGAGGAACTGACAGGCAAGACAGTGATGTGATGCTATCAGATTTGATGCATCGAACAGCAACACGCCAAAAAAGAGAGCCAAGGTTAATGAGAATGTTCTGGCATTCTGAACTGGGGGAAGAGGAGGACTGAGTCCCGGAGAAACCCCGCGGGCTGAATGATGTCTTAGTCATGGAACTGACAGCAGAAAGGAAACACGCCAGGCAGATGTGGGGGCTGCCCAGGGGGTTCAAAGCAGGACACCGCGCTCGGGGTCGGCCGGGAACTTGGGGTGTGTTTTATGTTCCTGCAGCTCCTTCTGGTCGCAGAGCGGTTCCTGAGGCCTTTAGGTCTCCAGGTTCGCTGGGAAGTGGCAGCTCTGGTCTGGGGCTGGGGACTTGGGGTGACCTGCCGCCGCCTCGCCCTCCAATTGCTAGCCAAGGGGGCAGCCTTTGGCTCAGGCACTGATCTCGGGTCCAAGTACAACAGACAGAGTGGCCCGATGGGTTTCCTAAAAGTCAGAGTTCACTGAGGTCTTCCCAGGCAGTGTGCTGAGAGCTTGGGATCCTCACCACTGCATGGATTAAGTACTAGAATTAGAGGGAGGAAATTGAGTTTCAGTGAGGTTAAGTGAATGGCCCGGGGTCACCCGGCTAGCAAGTCAGCACGCCTAGGCTGGCACCTTTGGGAGGCTGTACCCCTTCGCCACCTCTCCTCTCTCAGGTTCAAGCCCAACTCAGAGCACGTTCGGAAGAACCCGAGACTGCGCTTCCCCGAAGGGGACAGCAGGGGGCAGTGTAACCAGCAAGCACCTGGCCCTCCAGGGTAACCATCACCCGGGAGGAATGTTTGTTTCCTCTACATGGAGAGGACAGGAGAAAAACTCTGAAGACAGCCAGTCTGTCTAGGGTTCCCTGTTTTTCCAAAGCCTCTTGAGCCCACCACCCCAGATCCAGAGCCCCCCTGGGACAGAGACCAGCCTGCTTCTCAATGTCTGGCATATAGGGGCGCTCACCAGTGAGGGCACTGGATGAAGGGGTAGGGGCCGGGAGTCTCCCAGAGGTGGGGGCCTCTCCGACAAGGCCCGGGGAGACCAGCCAGAGGCACAGCTCTGTTGAAGGGCCTGGGCCCCACCCACCTGGCTAACGGTGTCCCTCAGCTGGGAATTCTAGGAGCTCCCGAGGAGAGGCTGGCCCAGGGCTAGGCAGGGGCCTCTGAGGTAGGAAGGAGGCAAGGCTGGCTCAGCCCAAGCCGGTCTCCACTCAAAGAGCTCCCGGCCTCGGCTGACGCCTCTGGGGCCCAGCCCCAAAGGCAGCGCCTGTGGGACACTGGCGTCCAGCCGTGGGCTCAGCCCGGCCTGCTGGGGCAGCTGCCCCCGACCGCCTTTGCTTGCCTGTAGCTAAGCCTGCCTGCGGCCCTCCAGGGACTACGGGCTTACGGGGCAGGAGGGCCGAGTGCTTCGCCGATGAACAGGCTGGGAGGTGGGCTCTGGCCTGCTGGCCATTTCCAACATGACCTTGGGAAGGTCCAGGCCATCTTCTGTCAGATGAGGACAGAACAGGATTGATGGGGTGGGGGTGTGCTATACCAAGCCAACGAGAGCGCCCGGGCACATCCAGTCCACAGTAAGGGGCAGCGGTGACGGCTGTGTCCGAGGCCTGAGAGCGGGCGCCACCTCCACACAGCAGCCAAGGAGACGCAGCTCCTGCCCAGCCCGCCCATGCGGGCACACGGGCACACACGGCCTTACGCTCAGGAAGCGCTCCAGCAACCAAGGTAATGGAGCCCTTCCCTAATAAAAAGCTGGTAGTTCCCGTCCTGCTGTATGGGCCACACTCCAAAGCGGGAGAGTACTCTTCTGGGGGTGGGGGGTGGAGGGCTGGCCCCAGAAATCTGCCCTGCGCCACCTCTGCCCCGCAGTCTGGCTGAGCGGCCCCGTGCAGTGACTCTGCCTCCAGCCGTGGTCCAGCCGCACACGCAGGTTGGGTCAGACAGGCCCTGGGTCCCGCCAGGAGGCTCAGCGTGGGTCTTCTCACCTGTTTCCTCCACGTGAATCTGCTTCATTCAACAGGCCCACGACTGGTCACTGGAACATGGCCCCTGTGCTTCCCCTCCACACCCTGCACTGTCCTCTTCTCCTACCTGAGTCACCTCCCAGAGGGCCTTCCTGGGTGCCTTTCTCGTGTCCTCCTGGGAGGTCTCCTCCCCTCTAGACTCAAGACCGCGTGCCCTGTTCTCTGCAGCCCAAGCTACACCAGCAAGGATTGCGCCAGGAGGGACAACTGTCACTTGTCCCCCAGATGGCAACACAAGATGCCTCCAAACCAACCTCTTCTTCGCCCTGCTCGCTCCCCAAGTCTGCCCCTCCCCTAGACTGCCTCTCTTGCTTCCCCAACCACTGCTCTTGACTTGCTTCAAGCCAGAAACTTGGCTGCCAGCCTGCCTGCTTTCCCGCTCCTCCCTCCTCCCCCTTCCCTCCTCCTCACAGACCTAGGCCCTCTCTTCTGCCTCCTAAGCCTCTGTGGGCTGCCCACTCCTGGCTTGGCTGTTGACATACCCCACTCCTGACCCAGATGGCCTTCGACTGTCTCAGTGCTGACACCACCTCCCACAGCCCTAGAACCACCCCAGCTACAAGTCTGATCCTATCCCCACCCCCAACCCCATCGACAACTCTTACATGGGGAAATATTTCCTGCTTTCATTTGCTTCAGTAAACAAGTTGGGGCTCAATGCGTGCCAGGAGTGACAGCCTCGCAAAGGGCAGGAAAGGAGCCCTGGAGTGGAAGCCAGCGTGCCTGGAGGGAGGCCATGCACACTGTAGCACCTTATACAATGGGTGGTGACACCCACTCACAGCGCTGCTGAGGGCCGTGGACTACCACAGAGGCACAAGACATCTGGAAGTCAGAAGGTGTTCACTCAGCTGGATACCCTGTCTCATCTTCAAAGAACTGCTATGGAGAAAGAACCCCGCCTGCCCCCACCCTTGAAGGACAGAATAAAGAATATGGGGAAACACTGCCAGATGCTCTGTAATTCCGGAAGGAAGCAGGTCCTCCCATTTCAGCTGTTTGACAACTCATATTGGGAAAACAATAATGAAGAACAACCGGGATGATGCGTGATTTGGGGTATCATAGTTTCCCTTGACCGCAAACTTGACCTTCGTGAAAAGCACAGTGATTCAGTCAAGGAGCTTCTTCCAGATCCCAATTTCCTAGGAAGCACCAAGTAGGCCGGGGCTCGAGATGGTGGGATGGTTGGCCCCTGGCCCCTTGCCCTCACCCACGCCGGCTGCTTGCCCAGGGCCCTGGCCACGCCAACCCAGCCCGAGCCCCA